GCCTTCTTTCGCTTTGCCTTCTCAGTCTTGGTTCCCTGCTCAACCTCCTCTGCCTTCTGTGCTTTGTCTGCCTTCTTTGCCTTTGTCTTCTCAGTCTGAGTCTTAGCCTCTTCCTCTGCCTTCTTCGCATTCTTGCCCTTTTTGGGTTTTGTAGAAGTTTCACCTTCTGCATCCTCCACCCCGTTTGCCTTTCCATTCTTCACCTTTTTGTCCTGACAAGGCTGCAAAGATCTGCAAATCGCTTTGGAGTATCAACCGGCCTGGGAATGGCTGACGCTGCATCCACAAAAGGCCCTGCCAATTCAGCATCATAGGGGAGAGTGTCCGCGTGGTCACTGGCGACTCCTGACGGGTAGATTTTTCTATATGACACTACCTCCAAGAAACCGATTTCCAACATGATTTCAACCCATGTGGCCCATAATTGCTTTATTTCAACCATGGTCCTGGACTTGTGCGCTCGCAGCCGCTCCAGCACGATGACGGGCAAGTTCCTGCCTGGCAGGTACAACTAAAAATGCTCCCTATTCTTAAGTTGGACATCGTCGGAGATTTATGGTAGCAGTTTTGCGGGGAGTGCGGAGGGGACCTTAACTGACTCAGCCTCAGCACCCGTGGGACCCGTCTTGCCAGATGAGTTCAGCTCGATGCTTGCGTGATTCCGGAGCTGCGTTAGGATCAGACCATGTTTTGGCCTCCTTTGGGCACTCAACTTTGGCCGGTTCCTCAAGTGGGGTTGCTAAGTGGGGCTGCTCATCCTCAATCATCACAACCTCTCCATTGCCCTTCGGATCACCATGTTCAATCGCTAAAGGAACTGGAGGCTCTGCTTCACCAGCAGAACGCTCTGCGGGTTGCTGCAGGCTCCACAGCTCCTTCACTAGCAGAAGGCTCTGCGGGTGTTCCACCAGCTACAGCTAGAGGCTCCGATAGCGTATCCTAGCTGAAGTTGAAGGCTCCACAGGCGCCTCGCTAGAAGGAGGCTCGGCAGGTGTTTCACTAGCTGGAAGCTCCACCACAGGCGCTTCACTAGCTGGAGGCCCCACCACAGGTGCTTCACTAGCTGGAAGGTCCAGCACAGGTGCTTCACTTGCTGGAGGCTCCACAGATTCCGAGCTAGCCCCCACATCCGGCTCCACGTTCATCCCCTTCCAGTGTTTGTCCATGACATCCCACAGTGGTTGTAGAGCAGGATCCTTCATTGAACCACAGGTGTTGGTTAAAGCAAAAACGTTTTTTCAAACTTTAGATGGTGGTGTCCTGGGGTTGAATTTTGTAACTCCAACCAAGTCTATCACATCAAGCAAGGCACCCGGCGAATGGCAAGCGTGACCATTTTCTTCAACCCCCAGCAGTCCACGAGCCAGAATACCTTCGCCTCCACGGGGCTGATGTTTCATGATTTTCCCATGTCATTCAAAGGTAACCCCGCAGTTCTTCAAGCCAAAAAAGAGTAACGGTATGAAAAGGGTTGACGTTTGAACTCACACCCTCGCCTCAGAGTTTGGTTGCCTTTGATGGGTGCCCCACCAGTCTATGATCAAAACGAGAAGGTTCAGGTTGCAAGCAAGTGATTTGCACGATGCTATACCAACAGTGTCCGTACTTATCCGGCCACGACGTCAACTTCTTCTCACTGCGAGCCTGCTGCCGAGTAAGGGGGTCATTCTCTAAGATCTCACCTAGAGCCCACCACTCCGAGTTCGGCCATGACCGTTGACCGCGCTGAGGCTTCAGAGAACACAAACACCCTCGAGCTGCAAAAGGATTTGAGAGAGGCGTTGAAAATCAACTTGCGCCCAATCAACCTAGATCAACCCAGCCTCACCAGGTCGATCATGAAGACATGACCCCAAAGGCCCAAAGGGCCATTGAACACCATCAGGTACCTGTGAAACATTCATGCTCTAGGAGTCTTCATCATGACGTTTCTGGGCGCACCAGCAATTGAAAAAGATGATGGCAGGCAGGATGGCAACCCCAAATGGCTGAGCTCTGCTGAAATCTGAATTGTCGCCGTTTCATTGAATTGTCGCCGTTTCAACTCCATCATGTTGAAGAGTTAATAATTGCGATCAACATCAATTAATTCGTTCCTTGTGGAGGTCCTAGGTATACATATATGTATATATACGTACCAACTAATTAAGATCGAACATGATCAGAAACATGTGACCGCAATGGTTGAGATTCCAGGAGATGGCCGTTCAGGTGACACTCCCAGCAGGTCCATGTCCAACAACCGTCTGAACCTCATATGCCTGACTATCATGGGATCGAAACATGATTAGTTGGAGACCCCTTCGATGACCTACACACAAGGGTTTTCGGGCTCAGCCGTTTCCACGAGACCTTTTTCCATCAAAAATCTTCCAGAGCCTCTATCCGATCTATCCAATGCCGATTCAATGCCGATGTCACAACCACAAACCCTCTTCGGTTGCTTCTTCATCTTTCATCTTTCATGGACCTCCTCCGGGCTCCGCCAGTGCCTCCGTGTGCGCTTCACCCGGCTCGTCAGGCGCTTCACCCTCGAGCGCGCCGCGGGCGACCTCTGTGGCCAGCTGGGCATCCAACTGCTCAGCCTCCGAGCCAAAGGCATCTGTGGTAGCAAAGACCTGACTGGCCGAAGGGTGGGAGGAAGGCTTGACCGATTTTGGCAGGATGCAATGATCCCAGCAAGCCTGCAATAGTGACCATGCTCAACCACAGCCCATCCGCAGCTGTTGTCTTGAGTTGTCTTGAGGTAGCTTCTTGCCATGTGCTGCGCTGATCACTCATACGAAGAAGAGCTGGTCTGCACGACGTGACAGGTACAGGTGAATTGAACGACGTGACAGGGCAAGTGAGAATTTTGGGCAAAACTGCATTTTTGGCGTCTTCTATCGTCTTCTCCTACAGAAGAAAGAACGCCAAGAATGGCCAAGAGTTGCCACGAAAGTCATGGCACATGCAATTTGTTGTGAGGCCGTGGAACGCCTTTGCCTTTGCAAGCGGAGGCAAGCCGCAATTATGATCTGACAAATTGTATAAATCAGCCAAAACAAGGCCAGAAGCAAGGCATGACTCCTTGTGATGGGCGCACGCCCACTCATGACAAGCACCTGTGAGAGCAACATGTCCTGCTTCCATCTGCTTGCTCCATCTAAAGCTGCCAGCATGGATGAGGTTCTTGAAAGTGTTGGGTCTCCTACACCCCACCCTTCCCTGTTGAGTATAGGACTGATAGAACTTTGCACGCCATCTTCAGAAAGATCCTCCTTTCACTTCAGCCATGCATGGTCACGCCTGAGTCACGCACATAAAACGGGAGGGACCCAAGAGCTCTCTCGTGCATCTTTGGATACGTTGCACGATACTACTTTCAAACAACTTACAGAATAGTCTTGTCATGGCCACTTCGAGGAGGAAGCCTACATAGACGTCATTCCATGAAAAAATTCAGATTAAAAATGAGAATCCACTCACAGGTGGGCGCCAGCAAGGGTTCAGTTTGGACAAACACGGTGTGCCGTTTTGAGCACCGGTGTACCGTTTGTTTAACTATGCAACATGTCAGGGGGTGGGGAGTTCTTTTTCTCACGAATCTCTGAAACAAACAGACCTCGTACGCTGTCTGTCTTGCGATTCACCACGTGAATCGGCTCCTGTCTGTTTCTTCTTTTCACACCGTGAGGTGAATCAGCTCTCGTGCGCTCGCTCCGTTCAGTTGAAGTTTCGTGCGCACGAGAGAAACTGATGGGCTTCCTTGTTGAACTAGGGTGTCCATCCGCGTGATCCATCCGTGACGTTTTCTGGCATATTTCTCAACCTTAAAGAAGGCAGTCCTGTTGCTTCGCATTTTCTGTGGCTGCTTTCTCTGGCCCTTTGGGTTGGGAGGCGTGTGCTTTTCCTATGTTTCTTGATCAACTATCCACTACTACTACTACTACTACTACTACTACTACTACTACTACTACTAC